AATCTATATAGTAGTTTTGGAAGTATGGCCATTTTCACTATATTGGTTCTTCCTACCCAGGAACAAGGGATGTCTTTCCATTTTCTTATCTCCTCCTCGATCTCCTTTTTCAGAGAGCTGTAGTTTTCAGTGTAGAGGTCTTTTGCTTCCTTTGTGAGTTGATTCCTAGATATTTCATTTTCTTGGATGCTATTATAAAACGAATTGTTTCCCAGATTTCTCTCTCAATGAGTCTGCTATTTGTGTATAAGAAGGCTGTTGTCTTTTGAGTGTTGATCTTGTATCCAGCTACTCTGCTGAATCTGTCAATTAGGTCTAGAAGTCTTTTGGCCAAGTTTTTTGGGTCTTCTATATAAAGTATCCTATCATCAGAAAATAATGACAGTTTAACTTCTTCCTTTCCTATCTTTATTCCTTTTATTTCTTTCTCATTTCTAATTGCAGTGGCTAATGTTTCCAGAACTATATTGAACAAGAGTGGTGATAGTGGGCATCCTTATCTTGTTGCTGATTTTACCATGAAAATTTTCAGTTTTTGACCATTGAGTATGATGTTGGCTGTTGGTTTTTCATAAATAGTGTTAATCAGGTTGAGATAAATACCTTCTATTCCAGTTTTCTGTAGCATTTTTATCATGAATGGGTGTTGGATTTTGTCAAATGCCTTTTCTGCATCTATTGAGATGACCATATGGTTTTTGTCCTTGACTTTAATATAGTGTACTACATTTATTGATTTATGAATGTTGAACCATCCTTGCATCCCTGGGATAAATCCGACTGGGTTAGGGTGTATGATCTTCTTCATGACCCTCTATATTCTGTTGAGGATTTTTGCATGTATGTTCATTAGGGAGATTGGTGTGTAGTCCTCTTTTTGGGTTGGGTCTTTCCCTGGTATTGGAATCAAAGTAACACTTGCTTCCAGGAATGAATTTGGAAGCCTTACTTCCCTTTCAATTTCCTTGATGAGTTAAAAGAGTAATGGCAAGAGTTCTTCTTTAAATGTCTTGTAGAATTCAGTAGTGAAGCCATCAGGACCTGGGCTTTTTTTTGTTGGCAAATTTTTTATTACATTTTCAATTTCACTCATTGTAATTGGGGTGTTTAGAATTTCTATATCTTCCTCATTTAACTTTGGCAATTTGTATGTATCTAGGAATCTGTCCATTTCTTCTGTGTTTTCCATTTTATTAGAGT